TGACCCCCTGGACATCAACTGGACCTATGGACAGGTCTGGGAACAGATCCAAGAAGCATTGAGAGCCTTTACACAGGAAATCTCCCAACTGAGAAGATAATCTCTGCTTCCCAACCCTACGAGCTCAACCCCCCACCAATCAGCAGACCCAAGTGTAGGGCAGAGGAAGGGCAGAGGAATTTGTAGGACAGAGGAAGGGCAGAGGAATTTTTCCAATTGTCGGGAATTTACTTGGGTGGGCAATGGACTAACGCAAACCTTTGCTTCTGGTCATTGCTTGCTTGCTACACCGCTGGATGGGGAGTTATGGGATGAGGTCATTGAAGCACGGGCGACTGGCCCATCAGGCAATAGAGGCGAACCAACCCCGCCATTATTCAGAGGCAACAGTGGGCAATCAGTCATTTTAAAGGTCAAGGCATGATCCATGCGTAGTCAGCTTGTGCACAGCTTGTGCACCATGAGAATAAGAGGTCGGGGTCCTTGCCTGCGAGAGTGGCCACTGCGTTGGTGCTCTGGGGCTTGGACCCTGGCTAGCCAGAAAATAAACCTCCTCTTGTGTGATTGCATCCTCGATGTCTCTGCCTTTCTGTCCGGTGGGCTGTGGAAGGTCGGTCCCTAACATCTTGGGGGCTCGTCCGGGATTTGCCTTCCCCACAGACTACAGATAGAATTCAGGGCTGAGGAGGAGTATGAAATCCACCCGACGCCCGGACAGCCGGTGGTGTTGCACAAGGGAGTGGAATCCCCTTGCAGGACCCCGGATCAGGACGCCGGCACAGGACCTAGGTGGACGCGCTGGTGGGTCGCCGGTCGGAGCCAGGCAGAGACGTCCTCTGGCCCCATTGGGACTCCGAGCTGACCTTGTAGCCAAGGGCCGCGTCAGGAGGAGACCGGGGAGCAGGTCCAGACCAGGTTAGGCTGTCTGTTTACCTCACTGTCCACTTGTCTATTGTCTGTTTTGTTTGTCGTCGGCTTTCTGTGTGTGTTGAGTGAGTGTGACATCTCTTGTTGGCTTGTTGGAGTCTCTGGGTTCTGTGGTTCAGCCCGAGAACCACCAGGGTGGCATGGGTTTTCGGGCTGGGGGCCGTGGAATCAGGGACCCACGAAAGATCTGCAGAGGTGCAATCTCTTTGTTTTAAAGGCTGCTCAGATGGCCTCTCGTTGGATCTGTTCCCAGACCTGTCCATAGGTCCAGTTGATGTCCAGGGGGTCACCCCAAATGCAGAGTCTGAAATACAAATTGTGGCTTTTTGTGTCTGGCTTCCTTCACTTACTTACATAATGTGTCCAAGGCTCATCCATGTTGTAGTGTGGCTCAGTACTCCACTCCTTTTCATGGCTGAGTAATATTCCACTGTACGGATGGACCACACTTAGCTTATCCATTCGCCATGGAGACATTCAGGCCGTTTCCACCTTTTGGCCATTGTGACTATTGCTGTTATGAACATTTGTGCACAAGTTTTTGTTGGAACACCTGTTTTCAATTCTTTGGGGTATATACCGAGTGGTAGAATTTTTGGGTCCTACGGTAATTTTACATTTACTTTTTGAGGACCCACCAAGCTCGTATTTTCCACAGTGGCTAAACCAGGTCACATCCCCACTGCAATGGTACAAAGTGTCCGATTTCTCCACACCCTTGCCAGTACCTCTTAGTTTTTTTTCTGTTTTTTTTTTAATGGGTGCTACTAAGACATTTTTGTACATAGCCTGGAAGGATCCAACAGAGAGGGAGGAGTTGATAATGCTCAAGAGAATTGGGGCCATGGCTGGAGGGAAATCCTTGGGAAGGTGAGAGGACACAAAGCCCTTAAATGGGGGGTTTCCCAAAATGAGAAGTCTGTCTGGATGCTGGGCTGCCCAAAAAAGAAATATCCCTGGCCGTGCTCTGGTGGGCTTGTCCCCTCCTGGTGGGGGCCAGTCCCACAGAGCAACATGAATGGGGGCTGGGGAAAGGGAAGGAAGAGAGTGGGGGGGTCTCACCTTAAACCTCAACTCTCACCACCCAGATGAGGCTGCGGGCAGGGGCATAAGCTCTGGACCTTCAGCACCCTCAGCTGTAGAATGGAGACAATGAACCCGCAACCGGCTGCTCCAGACTTCAATGGAGTGATGCATTGCACATGCCTGGCATACCAAGGGTGCTTACTAAATGTAGGTCCCTTCTGTTGTCTCTTCCTTTCAACTAGATTGTGAATTACCAGGTAGGAGAAACCAGTTTGCCCTTTTTTGTGACCATCTTAATATCTAGCATGATGATGGTTACATAGCAGATGCTATAAGCACATGAAAATAAATAAACACAAATAAAAATTATGATAAAGAAATTTCCCAACAGCAATAGCAAATATTTACTGGCACTGATTATGTGGCAGGCAATCCAAGAACAGCTGCCTCTCACTTGGCCTGCACAATCTGGCCTTGGGGTGAGTGCCACTTTGTCCCCACTTTGCAGAGGGGTCACTTGTCCACCGCTTTTGGCACGACTGGGGACTGGCAGGACGGAATTTGTACATAAGATGTATCACCTCAAATCCCAGCTAGTCATCACCGTATACTCTTTATCCAGACACTGGTAAACCAACAGCAGTTGGATAATCCTGGGATTGGGGAATAATTTATTGCAGCTCAAAAGATGCCAAGAAGGAGGTTGACTGAGCACTGGAGGAAAGGAGGAGGTGGCCACCAGCTGGATGCTTGGGGAAGACTTGAAAGTCCTGGGAAAGCAATGTGTGGCCCAGAGGCACCCTCTGCCTTGGTGGCTGAGGTCTCCTGAAGCACGGCTGAGCTCACCCTGGGCACAGAAATGGCATCTTTCCAGGCTCAGTTGGTTTCCAACACTGGAGGCTGGTTCATAAAGACATCTCGCATAGACGTCCCCCAGGGATCAAGGGATTTCTTTCTGCTCAAGCCCTTTTGTCAGCACGGAGGCACCAGGAAACCAGGTCAGCCACCAGAAGGTTGCCGCTTGCTCTGAACTGATGCCAATGGGAAAGAATGGGCTTTTCCAGGTTCCTGAGAGAGCACTGACCCCCAGGGCCTGAGGATGTACCCGAGTCGGCATAGAATCCTTTTCCCACTGGGCCCACCTTCCCATGCTACCTCCAGAGAACTGTCCCTCACTTCCCAGCCCTCACTTCTCTTGGTGACTGGGTCAGAAGGGAGCTTTTCAGCCCTTGGCTGGGCCTGGATCTTGCCCAGAGCTACCCGGCAATGCTCCCGGCCCCTCCCCTCTTTCTGTTGCATCTCTGTCACCCCAGCTCTCCATTTATCTCAGGATGCTGCAGAGTGAGAAGAGCTAGCAGGTGTGCATCACTGCTGAGCTAAGGAGAGAGAGGGCAATGTGACATTGATGAAAAAATGACAATGACCATGGGTACAGCATTTTGCAGGTGAGGGTGCTCAGGTATTTCTCCCTGGCTGAGTTTCCTGCGACAGGGACAGGTAACAAGAGCCAGCCCCTCATCCTGCTCTTTCGGATGTAGGACTTGATCTGCCTACTCCTGACTGGCTTCTGCTTTCCAACTCTCCACGTCACTTTACTCACTCCCCCCCAGCCCAGGCAGGGGGCTCTGCGCCAGGCACAACCTCGTGTTAAGGAGAAGGGCTGTGACGCCCAGAGAGGTGGAGGAGAGTCCGGTCCGTTCGTCAACAGTGGCTTCACCAAGACACCTCTACCCTCGGACTCCAGGGCCAGAACATGCTGACGCACTGCTGATTGCGATGAGCTGAGCCAGTCACCAACAGTTAGTGGTTAACCATTTATCGCTTATCAAGATGGGCCACAGAGAAAGTTTACAGGAACAGCTGGATGTGGCTTAATCATTAACACTGCTCAACTTCACAATTTCCCAGGTTGACATCTAATTAAGTTGAGACCCCATCTATTTATCAGGCATACTCTGCTTGCTAGACCGGAACAAGCGAGGCAAGCTCCGGAAACAGGTGAGTGCCGCTTGCGGACTGGGGCGGGCTTTGAGGAAAATTCCAAGAATGACTGAGACCTTTATGGAGCAGCTAGAACGAAGGATTTGAAATCAACTTTACAGGGTTGTGGTGACAATTAAATGAGAATATGCACAAAAAGTGCTTAGTGCGGTATCTGACAATTGTTCATATAAAAATGGAATTGGTTATGATTACAGCTGTGGTCGCTATTCCAATGTCCAATAATCTGATAATCTCTCTCTCTTTGTCCTTTCTCTCTCTCTCCCCCTTCCTTCCTTCTTCCCTCCCTCCACCACCTTTCTTTCTTCCTTCCCTCCCTCTCTCTCTATCTTCCTCCATTCCTCCCTTTCCTTCCTTCTTTCTTTCCTCCCTACCTCTACCTCCTCTCCTCTTCCTTCCTCTCTGTCTCCTCCTTTCCTTCCTTCTCTCTCTTTCTTACTTTCCTCCTTCCTTCCTTTTCTTTCTTCTTTCCTTGTTCCCTCCCATATTTCTCCTCTTCATCCTCTTCCTTCCCTTTCTCTCTCAAAGGTGCTATGTTTTCCACATTCATTTTCTTGTTTGGGGATCTGCTTTAGTTTCATGCCAAAGTCAGCAGACAACCCTGAAAATTCAGAAGCAAGTCACAGCCAAGCATTAATCAGTTGGAGAACTTGGGGACCAGGTGCGCTGTGGGGTTCTCTGTGCACAGCTGTTGGCCAGTGGGTGGCTGAGACTGCCTGGTTTTGTCCTGGGGGCCACATCACAGGGCGGACAGTGTGTGAGGTGGTGGCTCCAGGCACCTCCAGGAAGGCTGGTCTCCAGCTTTCATGAACCACATGCGGGACAACAAGTGCCACTTGCTGTTTGCTGACCTGTTGTGGCTCACCAGTGCTCGCCAGTGTCTGTCCTTGCCTCTGTCCCCACCCCACACAGGCTCAGTGAGAGTGATGGTCTGGCCCCAGGCTGTCTGGGCTCAGATCCAACCTCTCTGACAGGTTTGGGGAGTGAAGTCACGTCAAGCCTTGGTAGCTTTATTTCTCACGTGGGCCCAGCATTGCAGCAGACACAGGTTTTCTTGGCAGCAGTAGCAATAGTGGTGGCAGAGGTGATTTTCTATTAATAAATATTTAACCCCAGTTAAAGTCTAGGTCCCTACCAGTCAGATTGCCTAGAGCAGTCCTGGTGCTCTGCTATGCTAGATGCCAACTTTATAGCTGCTGGATGTGGGAGGCCCAGCAGAGAGGGTTCTGGGCTGCCAAAGTGGCAGGTAGGCGTTTGGGGACGTGGGCAGGTGGCTATTCACCAATGGGTACAGCAGCATTTTGATCTTGTAAGAACCAGCATGTCTATTCTGGTGGGTATCAGCAGGGCAGCAGTCTCAAATAGCAGTGAGATTAGTGCTGTCATTACAGATTGGAAAGACAGAGCTAGCATTTTTGAAGCCCTCACCACGCATGGTGTTTATTTATCTTATGTTTATTTATCTTATGTATTTATGTATGTTATTTTAGTAATCTATCATTCTATTTAAGCCTAAGAGAATTACTTGGAGGCAGTTTAGAGTTCTTCAGTCAAAGGCCACATGCCCCCCCCCTTTCCCTTTAGTAAGTTCTAAAACACCATCCATTCCTTGAGGCTCTCACAAACAGCGAGTACCTGGTCTGTGTTCCACAAAGGCTGTGCCCCTGGGGAGGAGCATGAAAGCTGCCGTGCATTTGGCATTTACCATGTGCTTCACACACATGGACTCATTTCATCCTCACCGTGGGCTGATGAGGTAGCTCATGACATTGCCCCCATTTAAGACATAAAGAAATGGAGGTTCGGAGAGGTCAAGTAACTTTCCCCAAATCACACAGCTAGTAAGCTGTAGAGCTGGGATTTGGACGCATGGCTCAGGAGTCCATGCTGCCTCGGGTGCAAGCTGTGTGCACTTGGCCTTGCTCTGCATGGGCAGTCAGCTTCCCACCTGTGCCAAGACGTCACAGGAAGACGAGGGCACCTTCAGCTCTGAGTAGTCTCTCTGTAGGGGGGAGCCTTGAGCCTCTGCTGCCTACAGCTCCCCCAGGCGGGGTCAGTATTGACCTTTCCTTGCTGGTGGGGGTGTAGGAGAAGCTTGGAGTTGGCAGTGACCTGGAAAAAGGACAACCCACCACCCACACCCTCCTGGTGCCAGCAGCGTTCTAGGCTTCAGCACGTTTTCTGGGAGAATGTGCAGGTCTCCCCAGCCTCAGCCTCCTCCTCTCGGCACAGAGGCTTCGTTGTTTAGGGTCTGCTGAGTGCGCTGTTCCCCCACCCCATGCCCAGGCCCCCCTGCCCCAGTCACCTCCTGTGGGAATGCCGGACACACACCATCACTGCTGTGCTCACTGCCCTCTCCCCCCAGCTCTGGCCTCACTGCCTCCCCCACATTCGTGCTTGTTCATCTGCCCTGACCTTGGTTTCTAGGTGGTTCCCACTTTGCATGGACATAGTATATCCCAACGAAAGCCATGTGGGGACCACAGCTTGTGCCACGTCTGCTCTCAGCCGTTTTCCTATCTAAGCCCCCAGTGGCAGCTCAGAATGTCCCCTGTCTTCTCCCACCTGCTTGCTCCACCGCTGAGCCACAGATAGACCCTAGCACCACCCACAGCCCGGCCAGGCAGCTCTCCAGGTTCCTCAGTGATGAGTCCACGGCTGGCTCCGCACTCCTGCCACCATCAGCTGCCTTCTTTCCCCTTCAGTTCTCAGCTTTGCCTCACGATTCACATGGATACATGAACAGGCTACCAGTGCCATTAGAACATCACACCATTGGACTGGAGTCTCCATTGTCCCCCTTCCAGACCTGCACTCCTCGCTGTACCTTTGACCCCATACCCTACCACATGCCCTCTCCTCTGCTCCCACTCACCGTCAGCGTTGTGGGAAGACTTGTCCGCACAAGGCTCTTCTCCAGAAGCGCCAGCCTCTTGTCACCCTCTCCCCTCATGTCACCCTTGTTACTGATGGCCTCCACGTGGCCACATGCTGTGGACACTTACTCTTCCTCCTACTTGACCTGGGACTATGGCCAACACAGTCGGACCCTCCCGTCTTCTCAAAGTTCTTGTTTTGCCATTCCTATCACCTAACTCTCACTTACCATCCTCTGTCTTCTCTTTCCAGGTTGGAGTTCTTCAGGCATCTTCTCTTCCTACTTTCTCTCCCTGGGTGATCTTACCTACTCCCACGGCGTTAATGACCATTTAATTTATTTGCATCACAGACGCTTCTTGAGCACCACTCTTCTGTCCAATGGCCCAAGTGCTATTTACGATTTGATGTCCCCAAACATCTCAAGGTCAACACTCCCTAAACAGAACTCTTCAGTTCCTCCCGCTCCCAAATCTATTATTCTCCGAGTCTTCTCCAGCTCAGTGCATGATAGTTGTCATTAATTAGACAAGGGTTTGCCAGGCAGCTCCCAGGCCTTTTATGTACAGTATCCTTCATCTAATAATCATGCTGTGAGAGAAGGATACCTATCTTCAATAGATTGATAAGGGAACAGACTTACAGGTGGGTCAGTGGCAAAGCCAGGAAGGGGACCCAGGTCGCTGATCCCAATGGCTTATGTCCTTCCAAATCCTGACTCTCAATCATTTGGAGACTGTCTTTATCCTTAGGCACCTGTAGGGCCACCATGTTGTGTAATTCCAGAGCAACATTTACAAGGTCATCTTCATGGATGGCAGTTCCTGGAGTTATGAAGTGACAACAGTCACATAAACTAGGATGACAACGAGTCCCTAGAGGTGAGCATTTTGGTGAACATGGATACCCTAATTCTGAATTTCTTCGTCCCATCCCATGAGCCCATTCTGTCTCCTCCCTTCCCTTCACTTCCACTCACCCCCCACCCCCCATCCTGCTTACCCTGCACCTCTTTGGCCAGGCTGTCAGACTACGGGTGCAGATGAAGCAGTTATGGCCCGAGCAGGAGGAGTGCAGGAGCATATCAGTCACGGTTCTCTAGAGAAGTAGAACTAGTAGGAGATACACCCCCCATCTGTCTGCCTGTTTATCCAGGTTTCTTTGAAGAATCAGCTGATGTGATTGTGAGGGTGGCAAGCCCAGCACCCACAGGGCAAGCTAGCAGGCTAGACATTCTGGCAGGGTTGGTGTTGCTTGCAGTTTTGGGCCAAAGGCGGGAAACTCAGGCAGAATTTCTATGTTATAGTGTGGCAAATTCGTTCCTCTTCAGGGGACCTCAGCCTTTTCTCTTAAGACCTTTAACTGGCTGGGAACGGCCGACCCACCTTACGGAGGCCATCTGCTTTACAGGAAGTCCGCTGGGCCAAATGTTAACCGCATCTAAAGAGTGCCTTCCCAGCAGTATCCAGGCTGTTCTCCAGATGTTTGGCCAAACAGCTGGACACTGTAGCACAGGCAAGTTGACACACACAATGAACACCACAAGGAGGGCGCAGTCCTTGGCGAGGACACAGATACAGGCACAGTCAGCCCAGCAACCTGGTCCTGCTGGGCTCGTGGAACATGCCACGGAACACACAGGAGTGATCCAGATTTCTAGAAGGAACAAATGGACCGAGCAGGTGAGCCTCAAAGGTGAGGCAGAGGAAGGAGGAAGGCACTGGGCCAAGGGCACAGCCTAAGCAGCGGCAGAGAGGCCTGCAGTGCACGCGGCTCCAGAGGGCTGGACGTCGTCCCTGCAGTGTGTGCCGGGGTGAGACCGGTGCGGCCGGCCCCTCAGTGCAGGCCTCGAATGTTGCTCACAACCAACATTCTTGTCTAGCCAGCTGAAATGACTTCTGGACCTAAATCAGTGGCTCAGAGTTCATCATGCTGTAAGAAATGCACATTCTTCCAGAATGGTATTTTCTGCCCCAAGAAACAGAACATTAAAGCATTATTTTAACTATCCGTGGCTACCTGAGACCTTAAGTGCTTCGTTCTTTAAAATTTTTTTAAATTTAAAACAATTTTAAAAACTCGTGGGTCCAGTTATATAAGTATTTTTTTCAGTGTAGAACTTTGAAAAACTATAGGAAAACAAAGACTAAGATAAAAATTGGATAAAATGCCCTGGCCAAGTAGTTTCCTGCCAGTCTACTATCTATGCCTATGAATATGCATCCATCTTCTGCTCTCATATTATGTTTTAAATTTATTTTAAGAAAAACACACACTAATATAGTTTAAGTACATATATTATTTAATAGTCATGAATCTATTAATAAGTATATATATTTTAATATTGAATAATATTTATTTATACATCTTCCTTTTTTTTTTGTCAAATAAGAATTTATTATGAGCATGGCCTCCTGGCATCAAATGTTCTCACATACCATAATATGACTATATAAATTTCCATCATATGAATATACCATAATTTATTAAAATTTCCCTGCTAGATATTTTTTCCTACTGTAAATACCACTTTTCTGACATGAAAAATGCTACAATGATCATCTTGGACTTTAATCTTTGGGCACATTTTTATTACTGCTTTAGGATAAATTTTTATAAATGGCAAAGTTGGGCCAAAGGGCATAAATATTTTTATGGCTCTAGGAACATATTTCTAAACTCCAGAAAAGTTGTACAATTTCCTATTTGTGTCATGCCGCTGATTCAGAGGATAATTTTGGTAACTGTTCCCAATTTGGCAGATAACATTAGCATTTCATTTAATTTGCACTGATTTTACATTCACATCTCGGAGACAGTCTAGTGTTTCCAAACTGAATTACCTCTGAATGAGACTATGCTGGGGGGGTGGCCCGCATTTCATAAGCTGTAAGGCAGCGTAAGAAACATAGATGTAGTCCAACCCTGCATTTCAAAAATGGGGAAACTGAGGCCAGAGAAGAGCAGGAGTAGCCCAGGTCTCCTGGGGTCCGATTGAGGATGCTGCTGTGTCCCCTCCTGGTGTCCCTGCCAGGGCCCTCACAGCAAACCTGTCGAAGGCTGTTTGGAGCCACCTCCTCTGAGCCGCCCATAGTGACAGCAAGTGTCCCATGGCTTCTTCCTTTCTTCTCTTTCTCAGAAACAATAACAAAAGTCCAAAATCTGAAAAATAAACCATGAAGCTCAGTGAAAAGGACCCAGCAGAAAACAAAGAAAGCAATTCAGTGAAAAAGAAATTGGTAAGTCCTGGTTTCTTTCTCTCTCCCTTATATGGGTATTCTGGTGACCTTGGGCAGTCCCTCCTTGTCCCTACCCCTCCCTCCTCCCGGGGGCGAAGCAGCAGGTGGGGGCTAAGGGAAGGCAGCGCATAGAGAAGAGTGAGCAATAGCTGCATGAAAACCCGCACAGGAAAGAGTCGTGGGAACTGTAGAGAGTGTGGGAAGAGGCTCAAGAGATGGACAATATGGATAGTACTGACCTGTTGGTGACTTTCTGGACTTGGTGGGGTCTCCATTCCAAAGGTCAGTTACTCAACGAAGGGAGCATCTGATGTTAGTGTATATTAATGTCATTTCCTCCGCTTCAGGATAGCATTGGAAGCCCGTCCCCCACTCCCCCACAGGCTTAGTCACTGCCTTTCCTCCCAGCGAATCCTCAGCATCTAGAACAACCCTTTCCTTTCCTGCGACTCCTCGGGCCCTCTCTTTAAACTGGATTCATGAAGCAGCAGCCAGAGAGCACCCACTCTGCGCCAGAACTTTCCACGCGGTCTCTCATTTGGTTCTCTCAGTTATATACTGCTGAAGGCATCACTATTCCCCTTACAAACCCCCACCTATGGCGTGACGAGTTAGGGCTGAGTCATTTGCCCGAGGTTATGTGGCTGGCACCAGGGGCAGCCAGTCTAAACTTGACCCACCCCTGCCTTGTCTCCTGGGACGCACACGGAGACAACTGTGATGTGGAAGAAACTGTGCTCATGTTTTAACAAGCCTGCACTGCCTAGAAGGACAGAGATCAACGCAGATCCACTAGCCAAGTTGCCAGGGGCGTGTGAACGAGGCACGCTGAGCATCATTATTCCCATACAGGTGTGCAACAGTTTGGGGAGGTGAAGCCACCTGCCTCAGGTCACCCAGGGATGTGGAAGAATCATGTCAAATAGACAGCAACTCCCTTCAGGTGGACACTGTATCTTTTCTAGGTACTTCGGTGAGTCAAGGATCTACTGTCTAGGTAGTTGGTGTAATGAAGGAAGGGATGTGGTCATCTCACACATTCTGCTTAAATGGTACTCAAGAGAGTTTCCCTCTCTGTCCAACCCTTCCCTGTTAGAAACTTTTCCACTTGTCCAAGCAAAAGTTTAAGCCTTAGTAAATCATCTAGAGGACAGTATAAGTTCAGTTCCAGAAGTATCTGGAACTGGACCCCTCTTCCCTGAGCCAGGCAGGAGAAAGGCCTTAGGAGATAAAGAGGCTTGGGGCACTGCATGAGTTTACCAGGGCTGTCATGACAAAGTACCATAGACTGGGTGGCTTAAACAGTAGAAATAGATTGTCTTACAGTCCTGGAGGCCCAAAGTCCAAGATCAGAGCCAGCAGCGGTGGTGCCTTCTGAGGCTGCCCTTCCTGGTGTTTGTATGTGGCCGCCTTCTCCCTGTGTCGTCTGTGTGTGTCTAATCTCCTCTTCTGATAAGGACGCCTGTCAGATTGGATCAGGGACCCATGCGTATGACCTCGTTGTGCCTTAATTACCTCTGCAAAGACCCTGTCTCCACATACAGTCCCACTCTGAGGTCCTGGGTGTGAGGACTTCAACATGCAGCTCTGGAGGGACACCACTCAGCCCATCGAGTGGACTGCCCGCGGGAGGCTGCTGTGCTGAGGGACAGCCAGCTGAAGGGCAGCAGCACGCGGAGCCTGGCGCTGGGCAGTGGACGTCAGGGGGCTGCGGGGGGAGGTGGGAGGAGCTGGGCACTGAAGGACGGGCGGAGTCCGGGGGAGTCAGAAGGAAGGGCCTGAGCTGGTCCAGGAGAACCAAGTGGGCAGGATCCAGTGTCACCTAGCGGGTTGGCGAGGGATAAGTGAAACGGGCCCCAGCCCGTTGCCTGGGAACGTTTGTAGTATGGCCACGTCCATGATGGGAGTCAGTTTTCTCAGGAGCTGCTTTGGGTCCAGGGCCACTGGCTGTGTGGATTCAGAGGAGGGCTGCTCCACGCTGTCCCGGCATTCAAGTTCTCCCCCATGATGCGGGACTAGCAGCTCCTCCCAGGCTGCCAGGAGGAATGGATGACATCGTGGACATGAGTGCATGTGGGAAAGCAGTGTAGACGTGCAGTGTAGACATGTACGTGAGAGGAGGGTGAGGAGGGTGTGCTGGCTGATGGGAGCCCTGGTTAGGTGCCATCTGGTTCATGGAGGGACAGGCCACCCTCCCACCTACTTCTATGCCGAGCTGTAGCTGCACATTCGTGTTGACTGCCTGATTTGTGGTGCCATTTGAGGTTTCAACCCCAAGGGGGAACTATGGAACAATTTTAAGTAGGGCGAGGGGTCACCTGATCCAATTTGGGTTTTAGCAAAATCTGTCCAGATCCCCGTTACAGTTGAAACCAGGGAAAGTGCGTAGAAAGAAGTCATTGCTATGGGGCGAGGAGGAGGAGGAAATGAGATGATGAATATCCCCATCAGGATGGCGTGGGGGTTGGGGGAAGGCAGAGGGGCCCTCGGCACTCAGGGATGTGGCTGTTCCTGCCCCTCCTCTGGTCTCTTCCTGCTCATTCGCCTGACCACACACACCAGACAGCCCTGCCTGCAGGCCTTGGCTCCCCCCTCCTGCCCTGCCCCTCCTTGGCCTGTGTTCTGCCCGGGCCTGTGCACCCTGTGACAGTCCGCTCAGGAGCCACCTCCTCCGGAAGGTCTCAGTGACCCAGCTGAGATGCCTCCTCCGTGCTGTTCTAGGAACCCCCCTCTTTGCATGCCAAGCTATAACTGAGGGTTTGCATGTCAGGAGCCACTCCAGACCTGCAGCTCTTTGAGGAAAACCAATGCGAGAAATAGCCAGTGCTCCCCGAGGCATCCCCACTGATTAACATGCACAGTGACTAATGTACTGCATGACTCATGGGTGTGGTGCATCCCTAGCCTCACCACCGGGGATTGGTTTCCCTTTTGGTTCCCCATTTGCTTTGAGGAGCTGTTTCCCCACTGCTTTGTATCAGAGTTGGGCGGATATTTTCAGGTGCATTTGACACTTCAAGCTCCCAGCACACCTATAGCACTCTACACCTCTTATGCTAATGTGTGCTTTCCATGAAACCCATCTTCTCTGTCTCTTTGTTGTGAGACTCCAGCCCTGCCTTGTCTCCCAGGCATTCTACACTCACCAATCTGCCTTTGTCGTGGCCCAGCCTCCAAGACCGTTCTCTGCGTTCTCTGCCTCTGGGAGCAATTGGCCCAGGCAACTGTCCTAGCCATGGCTAAAGGCGCTTCTCTGACATGGGGGCAAATCAGCCATGCAGCGAAGTAATCATGACATGCCGGTGTGCATGAGGTCCTTGTCTGCTCAATGCTGTCCCCGAGCCAGCCTAGGGCTGGCACACGGGAGTGTTCCCTCAGCTAGGGTTGGATGAACAGGACAGAGCAAGGACGGAGAAGTTAGTCCATTTCCTTCCACACCCACAGCCTCTGCCTTTGCTCCAGGCTGCAGGGCCACTGCTGGGGCTGTGTGTTTCGTGTGTGAGCCTCAGAGTAACTCTGCAGGACCGGCAGGGCAGGGGCAGTATCACTCTGCTCTGGCAAAAGTGGTAGATCAGAGAAGTCAAGTGACTTGCCTGAGGACACACAGTTACAAAGTGAAGGAATTGGGGATGGAACCCCACCCAGGCTTCTGAGGCAAAGTCAGCTACCTCTCCGTTGTCCCAGTCATTAGGGAGGCGCCCTGGGTTTGTGTCAGTCACTCCCTCCAGGAACGCTGGCTTTCTTCAGGAAGAACTATAAGAAGATGCCGAAGGGAAACTCCTCCCACCCCTGGGCGGCTCCTGCGAGGACAGGATTTCCTGTTAGGACCCTCCCAGTGCTGTAATGACTCGGGAGGAGGGAAAAGAATTGTTGCCCTATTTCCTGTTCAGGCACGATCAAATCGCTACAATTCCTGTTTGGACGCCCCCGCCCCCTTCCCCGTGGACTCTGCCCCTTATTCACCGGACGTGGGGCAGAGCCCAGGGCCCCTGGGCTGAGCCGTGACTTGGGCCAGCAGGGCCCGTGGTGGGAAAGAAAACATGGATCCCAGGGAACCGTGCTTAGCTCCCCTCACGCATGACACCAGCTGCCCCAGGCCTCTGGGGTCAGGAAGGGTGTCACCTGAGTGTCACCACCTGAGAAGCGGGCTGCCAGGTGGGAAGAGAAGAAAGGTAAACATGGAAACCAGCTTCTGTGTGGCTGGAGGGCTTCGGGGAGTCCAGGCTGGGGTGGCAGTCACGTGGCAGCACTCAACCCAGCCTGCAGCTGTGTGGCTGAGGGCCCTGGGCTGTGACTGTGGCTTGGTGGCCCTGCTCTCCAGGCTGGGCTGGCAGCGCCCCTGGCAGCCTGGCTGAGCACATGGAACAGGCCACAGTGGAGAACTGCGCTGCACTCACTCTGTGGTGTCCCTCTTCGTCCCCTCCCCAGTGCATGGTGCAGGCAGCAGCATGGTCAGTCAGTGGGCACCCTCTGCCCTGGGACTGGCAGGGAGGAGGTAGCAGGCACAGGCACGGGCTGGGGCTCCCGGGGCAGGGCTGAGGCAGGGCCCCTCACATAAAGAGCTCTGGCCTGCTGGGTGCAGACAGGGGAGAGTCTGCCACTTCTAAGGTGATGGGGCTGGGAGTGAGGGAGGCCATTGGCCCAGAGGAGATGCCTGGCACAGCCTGGTGGCTCAGAGGAAGCAGCATCAGAGCTGAGCCCCAGAGGGTGAGTTTAAAGAAAAAAGTGATAGAGAACAGGTGCTTCATCTGAAACGTGATTCTGCTGTCAGTGAATCCCACTCAGCTCAAGCTCCACTTACTGCAGGAAAAGAAATCAGTCTCACACCTCACTTGGCAATGTCCCTTCCATGGCACACAGACCCCGCGCTGGCCTCCATCCTGTCACCGCATCTGCGAGCACGTCCTCGGCAGCGGGCGCAGTGCCCACTGTCTGGCCTCAGCGGCTCACACAGGACCTCGCTTGTTCTGTTAATCCTTTCTGGGGCGTGACAACCTCTGAGGTGGGTTCCATTAGTATCCCCATTTTAAAGATGAAGAAACCAAGTCACAGAGTGGTGACGTAACCAGCCAAAGGCTCCACAGTTGTAAGTGGCAGAGCTGGGGGTAAGAAAAGGTTGAATCAAAGAGAGAAATATAAAAACAAGAATGTGGAGCCTTCAGGGGCCTTCAGAGGAGGAGGTGTTGGCAACAAGTCTCAGACAGGAAAGTGTCTACGAGGGAGGACACCGGGCGGAGGCGGCACTGAGACCCAAGCATGTGGATTTAGGCTGGATCAGAAGTGAGTGGAGAGGCCAGGCCGGGTGCCTCACGCTTATAATCTGGCACCCGGGAGGCCGAGGTATGAGGATCGCTCAAGGTCAGGAGTTTGAGACCAGCCTGAGCAAGAGCGAGACCCCGACTCTACTAAAAATAGAAAGAAATTAGCTGGGCAACTAAGAATATATAGAAAAAATTAGCCAGACATGGTGGCGCATGCCTGTAGTCCCAGCTACTCGGGAGGCTGAGGCAGCAGGATTGCTTGAGCCCAGGAGTTGAGGTTGCTGTGAGCTAGGCCAACGCCACGGCACTCACTTTAGCCTAGGCAACAGAGCCAGACTCTGTCTCCAAAATAAAAAAGAAGAGAGTGGAGAGAGAGAAGCTGTATGGGTGGAAAACTCACCAGGTGCTCATGGCAGGGGGGAGAAAGATTTCTTACACAGAGATTAGGATACACAAGTGTAAAGTTTATTTTTTCTTCTTAGAAGGAGAGAGAGAGACATTCAGGAACTCTTCAAGGCTGTAAAAGCAGACTCTAAAAGGCAGTTTTTAGTCAATAGGTTTAGGGATTGTAAAAGAAAAATTTCCATTTCCTTTTAGTCTGCTTGGCTCTTTGGAGATGTTATGAAAACCGAGCCCCACAGGGCCTGTCAGCGAGAGGGACCAGAGAGACACAGTGATTGGTCTTAACCCTTACTGAGCAACCAGGAGTCAGGTCCCTGAACTTTGGATCTCATCTGTCTTGTTTACTGCTGTATCCCTGGAGCTTTGTCAGGACCTGGCACCTAGAAAACACACACACACACACACACACACACACACACACCAGATATCTCAAACGATGGCAGAGAAAGTACCTTCAGAACACCTGGTCCCTTCCATTTGGCCCACATTCCCCTGGCCAGCCTAGGATGGCAGGCCACTGCTGCCCCTGGCTTGTGTCAGCTGGTCAGCCTGTGCCGGGGGCCCTGCTGCTTCTGCCCTGTGGCCCTGTCCTGGCAGTGGCCATCCTTGGATGGGGCTGTGGGGCAGGACTGTGGAGGTAGATGCCTTGTTCTCCATGCCAAGCCCGGGATCTCACTGTCTGCAAGTCCTCGGGCTTGGACCACCCTGCAGATTGGTGCCTCAGCCTGGGCAGCGTGTGCCTGTGAGTGCGTGTGTGAGCACGTGCAGCTAGAGTGTGTCCGTGTGGCTGTCAGCAGTCTCAGGCCCCTGGGCCCTGCACCTAGGTGAAGGGCAAGGCGGTGGGTGCAGCAGTGACTTTGTGAGTGCTGGAGCCAGGCCCGGGCTCCGGCCCGCGCCCAGCAGCAGCAGCACAGCTTTGCGTCCTGTCTTCCTCACCTGTAAAACAGGATAAAACCACACTGATGTAAGCACTCATGAGCTAATGCACAGCAAGTGCTCAGAGACACCTGGCGGCTAGCATGTGCTGAGTGCCTGCTGCTGCCACCGCTGCTGCTGCCATCTCCTGCAACTGAGTCTGGCTTTGCTTTTTGCTCCTATATGGGTCAAACAGTGGCCACATTCAGCAAAAATGATAGTTTTTTGCAGCTGCTGAAGATGCCA